TCGGCCTCTTCAGGTCGGCCACCAAAGGGAAGACCTCCAAAGTTGGACATTTTTTCTGTCCTCCACGTGGCAGTACGATTTTCAACCCCCAAACAACCCTAAAGTTTGATAATTTTTATTTTCCATTTAAGTTTTGTTAGTTCATCCATTAATTTAAATAAAAAAAAATACTAACATAAACATAGTTTAACTAGATACCTTGCTTCTTTCCTAGAGGTCAAAAGCATTCTTACCTTTGTTGTACTTAAAAAATAAAACACAAAATTTTAACAAAAGAAAATTTATCCAAAAAACTCAGTAATTTAATAAAGATCAAGTTTCTCAACTAAGTTTTATTAGTGCACATTAAATAAGGTTGCTAAAACTAACAAATAATTTAATTTATAAAAAGAAATCTAATGTCGTTTTTTGGTTTAAATCCTTCAATTTTATAAAATAAATAAATATATATATATATATTCTTAACTCATTTAACAGAATATTTTTTCCAAAAATTTTTCAAATGGAAATCTATCCGTATGTAAAATATGTGACACTTTTTTATATTCTTAACTCATTTAACAGAATATTTTTTCCAAAAATTTTTCAAATGGAAATCTATCCGTATGTAAAATATGTGACACTTTTTAAAGTAAAGGTGAATATTGCAACATTTATTCAAGTGTAATGTGCAATTTGATACATGTTGTCAAAGTTATATGCATTTGTGCTCATTCTAACACAAAATCTTGGATCCGTCACTATCCCCCTTTATCCCCTCAATAGTGTATGGTCGAACTTAGGGTGCATTATTTTTCGGAGTATGCTTGTTTGATTGATTACCATACTCGTAAAGTGTTTCCAGCCTAGAGTATAACAAGTGTTCTATCTAGTCCTAGCATTATTTGACTACAAACGTAATCCATATAACTCTCACCATTCGGGTTGAACTCACTGTACAATTGATCAATTCAAGTGACAAGAGGCTCGAGTAGTCCATACGCTTGAGTTGTCGCGTATCACAAGTAATTTCTACTCAATATATGTTGAAATTGTTAGGGTTAGACATGCATTATAAGCTTGTAAATGGCAGGAAACTGATCCTAAATAGTATTTTTTAGCCTTGCGTTTTTCATAGACATATTTAATTAAGTCTAAAGGTGAAGGTGCATGAATTTTAAAGGACTTTCGCACCTGATTTTATTTGCTTACTAAGTTGGATAGTGAATTAGCTAGTAGATGTTAAATATAGCATTAGCATTATCCTTTAATTCAATTCTTTTACCATAAAAGTTCGCATTACAAACATTATTAACCTAATTAACGAAGTTCACCTGTGTTTGCCAAAGGAAGGTTGAAAAGGAAAAAAGAAAGTTATGTTAGAAAAATTCCCCAAGTCTCTCTCATCAAAATCATTCAAGAATATATCAGAAAACAATCCAAGTAGGGAAGAAAACAAAAATCTTCCAAAGGATTTGAAATATCTGAGATTATTAGATGTATTAAACATAACCTCTAAATATTTATGTGGTTTTCTGTTCTTCCTCTGCCATGTGACCAGTAAATATGAACAATCATCTCTACATGATGGGAACATGGTTCAAGCCAGGTACTATATTGGAGACCATAATTATGAATATCTAGGTTGAGTCTAGAGTTTTCATAAATCTTGTAGGATCAATGTGCTTGTAATTCTTTTTTGCTAAGGTAAATATATTTAAACAAAAAAAAAAACAATAGAGGCTCTCGCAACCGGAGATGAAGGCACAACATCCAAAGGACTAACACAAGACAAGAAGAAAAAAAGAACTAAATCAATAAAACAAATCCCAGGTCGATATAAACCTAGGATAAGAATTCAAAGAACAGCTCTTAAGCCAGGTAGTACAATGAAAATAGACCTTGTTTATGCAAGGATATGCACAACAGTATATTTCTGATTACAGCTCGAACTCGGTCTCCGGACCGACCTGAACACTTGAGCGGACCTGCATAAAAAGGTGAACACTCCGACGATCAAGTCAGTATAGGTCG